TTGATAAACATACTTTGATTATCCCCAGCCTCCATTCATGGTTAGTTGTTTCTTCCAGATGCCTTTTTAGTACTACTAATATATGAATGAATGATTCTCATGCGTTGATGAGATTATATTGTGGACACATGTTAAGTAGATTTCCCTTTAGAATAGTTAGCATAGATCAACAGTTTTCACAATGTGATCTAGAGACCCCTAACAATCTCTTAGACCTTCAGGAGAAGTCAGTCAAATTAGACCAATGGTGCAAAAGCAGTAGTTGCTAAAATTGTTGGTACCCCTGAGAATTGAGGTACTGGTACCAAACTGTAGTAAGAATCTTATATTATCGTATTTTTCAATGCCACACAATTACAAGGAAAACTCTAATATCATCAAGAATGCCCTGGATGAAATATTAAAAATTATAAACTGTATTAAATTTTGACCCTGAATACATGTCTTTATAATATTGGGAACAACAAAATGAGAGCATGGTGCTGCATGTTTGAATTAAAAACACAGTCCCATGCAAAGTACTTGAGTGACTATATGATTTGCAAGCTGAAAGTAAAGTACCACTGCTGTCATGGAAAACCTAGTAATGTACTTGAAAAGAATGACTGACAGGCTATGGTGATTTAGATTAGATATTCGACAGACATGTTTTGGAAAATGTATAGCAAACTCTTTATTAGGAGAACAATTGATAGTTAATGATAAACTTCAAGATTATTAAAATAGAATTTTGGTAAGCTTATTTGTGTCTGATACACTTTTACCAAGTTTGAGGGGAAAGGCTACCTCCAAAAAAGTGATGAGACTTTTAGTATTCCAGGTTCTCAGGTGCAGGAGAAGGTCCCCCACAGAAGTCTTGCTGAACTGCTGCCCTATACTACACCGAAGCACCACTTCTCTGCTTTCAGGCTGACACCCATCCCAGGAACTATAAAGAGTGACAGAAGGATACTCCCAACCTGTTTCATCAATAGAGTAGAAAAGCATATAGATTTTTTAGTTGTAGTAAAATACTAAGAGGCTACTTATGCCATTAAAAAGTCAATTATCTTTTTAAAACTGATGTTAACAATCTGAGCAGGCTCATTTGTAATAGAAATTTCATAGCTTCATAAAACAGGCACTACCAATACAAAAGTGTTGAAAAGGAAAGCAAGGGGAAAAATAGAATAAGTATCCACCAGAATATGAATAAAAATAAAGCGATCCTTCTTCAGCCTTCACAAACATTATTTCAAAGGATGCTGAAGTTTCAAGTCTCCTTTACTGGAAAAGGAGTAGACTTTCCTAAAAGGAACTTGGGCTATGGATTCAGATTTGTTGTAGTTGTTGCTTTTTGTTTTAGTTTTTGACAGAATCCACATTCTTTGAGAAAAGGAGTAAATAAAAACATCCTTATATTATTCTAAGCAAAGTTCTAAAAGGTGTCATTGGATCATAAAATAGTAAACCAATAAATACAGCAAACATATTAGCAGAGATAAAGAGAGATTTGGGATGTCTTGTGGTTGAGAATTAATGAATAAAAAAAAACTGAAGAGAAAAAGTCCAAAATGGGTCCAGCAGAAAAGGAATTGGATCTAGTGCTCGTTTTAATAGAAAATCAGAGTTTTAGAACCTGCCGTCAATCCTTGGGGACATTGTCAAAGTCCTAGTGAATATAAGGTCAAAAGAGGGCTGAGAATCAAATAAAAATGGTTACTTCAGCTACAAAAAAGAAAAATCACCAAGCCAATTACAATGCATGGTCACTCCACAGCTCCCAGTGCTGTAGGAGAAGCATCTTTTCTAAGACTTGGAAAAATTTGAATTATCTACTAGACATCAAATGTTCAAACTTTTCAGACTCTGACCTCTCTAAGGTTTTATTTTTTCGGATACAAACTGAATGAATACTAAAAATGCCCTTTTAAGTTAATCATTATTTTCCTTTACTTTATCTTAAAACCTTAAAATAGAACTATTAATATGTGAAACTAATAGGTATATTACCATAAATCTTTGGAGTGCTCTGAAGCCTCCTTGTATGGGTTGCATGCATTTTTTAATGCACATTTACTTTATTTATATGAAATATTTAAGAAAAATGTTTCTGGGCATATAGCTCAGTTGATAGAGTTCTTGCCTTGCATGCGTAAGGCCCTGGATTTGATCCCCAACACACATACACACACATACAAAAAAAGATAAATGTTTCTAATCAAAACTGTGCAAATTCCACTATTCAATATAATGACAATATCAATACTTATTAAACATTTTATTCATATTGTTTCATTTTATGAATAAAGCAATCAAATTAGTAATGATTGTATTTTTTGACATTATTTACCAGTTTATTTAACTAAATAGAGTGCACTGTGAGATATCTTTTTTATTGATGATATATTGTCTCATTTAAAACATGTACAGAATTATCTATTTGTTTTGAATAATGTTTGAATAAACATAATACTAATTGTGGGAAATTGATTTTAATAAATAACTAACTAACTAATGAAAATTTTATATACAAAACTGGTTGTCTCTGCATTGCTAATTTTCATCACAATGTCTGTCATTAACAAACTTTAAGTAAAATATAGAATATGGAGTGTTATACTTAAATTTGAAAAAGTTTATCTACTGATTTCATAAAGCTCTTTGTTTTGCGTAAAAAAAAGGAATACACAAATATTTATTTGTAGTAAATTGATTTTTAAACGCAAAATAGAGATCTCCAAGATGAAAATATATATGGATTCAGATTTGTTGTAGTTGTTGGTGATTTAACACCCTCTAAAAAAGAACTATTTTTTTTTTATTCATATGTTTCTTGACTAGCTCCTTACTTACTAGGTCTCAATTTTTAACTCCAGTGTAACCTGAATTTTAAAAATAGCATTTTTTTCATTTATTTAACATTTGCATCATGATAAATTAAAACAATAGAAAACCATGTTGTTTAAGAACTTCTCAGTATTCTCCATTTCCTTCATCACATGACTTTCAGTTACCATGACTTATCTCTATCTGATATAAAATAACTAAAAATCACATTTAAAAGTGAATTTACCAAACTTCAGGATAACTTCATAATATTATATATGATATACAGTTATTCCACATTTTTGATAAAGCAAAATTTGTAATTGGTAGACAGTGTGCAACTCAGTAAAATATTTTTTGCAGAAAATTTAATAAAAGATTTTATTTTATATTTTTATATTCTAACCTATTGAAACTTAAATAAAATTTGAATACTCTATAAGGATTCATGAAATCTTAAAATCAAGTTTACAATCAATATGGATAAAAAAATTACTCTTCCATAGTGAATATTACAGACTGAAGTCACTTAACTTGTGAAGGCTATATGGTTCATAAAACAGAACTTATGTTCTATTCCAGAGACTGTGGGACTAAAACCATGGTCAATAATTCATATTTCTACCCTACAGAACACCTACCTACAAACACAGTATGTAGATGTATCTCTTGGACTAACTTTCCTTCTCCCTTCAGTCTCTGAGCCCCCATCTTCTTCCCCATGCCCTACTCTGCTTCTAGAATCATCTTCTTGGTCTTATCAACATCCCTCTTTCAAGACCTACTAACACACACCATCTTTTTGTGGTTGGTTCCTTTGCTGCTGACTAACCATGAGCTCACAGGTCAACTACAATTGTTGCATGAAGGCAGAGGCTGCTTTCAGCAACCTGGCCAACCTACACCTGCAGGTCTCCCTTGTCTTCCTCTCTTGGCCTCTATTCCCACCATGAAAACTTGACACTGAAGGTGTGGGATGCTTCTCCAAATTGATGGAGAAGGGCCAGGGCAGCCAGCATCTGTGAAAGATGAAAAACCACACAGTGTCTTAGCCCTCTGCCAGGTGGACTGGTAGCCATTTGCAGATGAATGGGACAGCAGTTTGAATGATATGGGGAAGTCATTTGGCCCTAGTCATAACCCGGAAATCAGACCCTGTTGCATCTGCACATCCTGGACTCTGAGCCTACTGATCACCACCTTTATGGCTTCCTAGAGAACTACTTCCTAGACTGGAAAGGGAAATTCATCCTGAACTTGAGCAGCCATCTCACAGAACTCTGCAGACTGGAGGTGGCCAAGCTGAGCTAGGCCAGACTCATCTTGAAGCATGTGAGGAACACCCCCATCCTCCACTTCATCCCGTATGAAGAACGGAAGAAGAAAAGAGAGAAGAAGAAAAGGGGGAAGAAGAAGAAAAGGAGGAAGAGAAGGAGCCACCTGAGAACTCTTAATAAAAAAATCCAAAAAGATGAAGAAAACAGTCATTAAAAACCAATGGTATTCCTTTAAATTTATTTAAAATACAGTACACATTTAATGGTATATAGTTATTTTTTCAAATATATTACAGTAATGAATTTCATAAAACCTATAGCAACACTGAAAAATTATTGTGTCTATTATAAGTTTAACTGCATGGTTTAGCTTACTTTTGATGATGGTGATATTATTTCACATTACAAGGACTGATAAAGATCCACAAAAAATATGAGACTTTAACGCAGTACCTACATTCAGACAAGGTTTAGGTCACAGCAACATTTCATCTACCAAAGCTGTGACATCAAAGTAGACATAGCATGTTCCAATCCATCTCTCATCACGCTGCCTGCTAATTTGCTATGGACAAAGACACACTTTCATAATCCTACAAAATCTGAATAACAAAAACCAAGAAATTTATGCTGTGGTGAGATAACTATGATGTGGGTTAATTAAATAAAAAACAAATATTATTATAGTAGTTCTTTTTGGTGAGAATACTTTATTGGCCTAGGCAACAGGGACCAAAACAATGAGATTTCTTATTTTGTCTTGTTATTTTTGCTTAAAATATAATTTCATAAACATTCCCTTAGGGTCATTATACTTTCAAGCATGGTACACAATAGTTTTAAAAGCATGTTAAATTTGGCTTAGGCCTAACAGTCAAAAATGTCCTGAACTAGATGGTACAAGATGATTTTCTCTTAAACACCAGTCTTGGAGGCAATCCAGTCGCGGTAGGAAGTTACTCGCATGTAGACCCCTGGTTTATTGATTTTTCCACATTCAACTCCCCAGCTCACTATTCCAACAAGGTACCAAATATCTCGAGAATTGGGATGAACCAGTGGTCCTCCAGAGTCACCCTAAATAAAACAAAGGACATTTATCATTTTGACAATTTTCTTTCAGATACTTCAGTTACAGGAAATGTTAAACCCAGATTCAGTCTGCAACTGGTTGTTGTTTCATGGAGACCTGAGGAGGGTATGTGTTGCAAATCCCTGTACCATCCTTATCCCCACTGTGACCCACTGGAATGTATTCTCTGGTATTTACCTGAACCTGAACGTGTTATCTGAAAAGTTCCAAACTCTAATTCTATGAGAGAGCTTTCGGGTGACATGTAGTATTAATGTACTTGAGATTTGGGGTTTCATATCTGAGAAAATTATTCAGAACACTACTCATGAGAGAGATGAGAATGTAGGAAGAATTTGGGAATGGGCTTAAAGTAAAACATTTCTGAGACTGCTCTTTTATTGAGATGTGCTTGAGAGATGGACTGTTATGTTGGATAGCCTGGAATAACATGCCAGTTTTGCCACTCACTAGGAGTGTGACCATGTACAAAGTACTTAATGTTCCTCTGTCTCAGTTTTCCCATCTATGAAATGAGAATAACTACATTATAAGATTATGATGAAAACTAAATGAATGGATATTTGTAAAGGACTTAGGAGAGTAGCCAATTCAGAATAAGTTCAACATAAGTGTTGAAATACATCTTGTATGTAGAGAAGAATTACTATTGTGCAAAGCGGAGAGGGATACTGACAGGACTGTCAAAGTACCAATCAACTGAAGCATGCAATTATCTCCATCTTGATGATTTTCATTAAAAAAAATAGCAGTTATTTATATACTATGTGTTCAATATGAATGGTGTCCACAGTTACCTGGCAGGCGTCAATATTTCCTTCCAAGTACCCGGCACATAACATTGTATCCTTTATCACTCCATTATACACTTCTGGAGCATTACAAGTGTTTGTATCAATAATTTTCACTGGTGCTTTCTGAAGTAACTCTGGGAATTCACCTACAGAAAGTAAACATCAGCAAAAGAGTGGTTGTGAAACAAAGCAGGATGGAAACCTTCCTTGGTCCTCTGTCAGTAAGACCTATGTTTGTTGCCTCTTAGGATAAAAAAAAAAAAAGCCCACTCAGTTCCATCAGTCAAACTGATAAAAACAAAAAAAAATCTTCAAATAAAAATTAAAACATCTTTCAAATGTGCCTTTTGAAGTCTTCATCTTTCTTCTTGTATCTTTGGACCAGAATCTTCTCAATTAGTTTCTCCAGGTAAGGGAGGTTCTACACCCCAACAGGTTTTCCTGGAATGCTCCAAACCAAGGCAATTTGCAGTCATCACCCCATAAGCAACATTTCCTGATGATCTCCTGAGTGCACTGGGCATCTGGAGGTAAACAATGTCTTGGACTCTACCTAGATTGCTCATATTTCTTGTTGCATTTTTACCTTGCATAGTATGTTTTCACTGGACTCACCATCAAATGTAAGTGCTCCCCATCCTGTAACAACAACTCCTTCACCTGGTGGCACAATCTCTGTGGCTTCAGGAAGACAAACTCGATGTACGTCGTTTGTAAAAACAACTTTTTCAGTGAGCAGTATAACTGCAACATCATCATGATGCTCACCCTTGACGTAGTTTTCGTGAATAATAATTTGTTGAACATAATGTTGCATATAGGGGGGACTTACTACAGTTCCAAAGCTAACAGTATAGTTTTTTGGATTTTCTGACCTAAAGAAACAAAAACAAAGATAAATCAATTTTTCATTTATTTGTAAATAAATAGAAATTCTGCATTCTATAGTGAATAGTAGAAATTCTGCATCTACTATACACTTCTTTATGACATTCGTGTTTCTTTTCCCAATAGTCCATTATAACTTGACTTTTTAATTCATTTTTTAAACATTTAAAAAACATTTGAGTCCCTACACCATATATTACATAAGGAAAAGAAATGAAAAAAATAACATATGCTTTCAAAATATGCTTTTCAAACATATGCTTAAATAAAGTAATAGATGGGCACAAACACAGACAATTACAATAATTGTTTAAATTCTTGAGTGTGTAATTAATGGAACCACTAAACAGAAGGGGTTGAATTTGTGTGCTTAAAGGAAGATTTCTTAGGGAAAGTAGTATTTTGAATAGGACCAAGCCATATTTGCCGAAAAGACCATGAAAGTGGAATATTTATGGAAAAAAGAGGGGGGAGATTGATTTATGGAGTCAGAGAGGTGTGAAATAGGATGCTGCATTTTAGTAACCACAAATTGTTTAAGATCTGAAGTGTAAAGTGATGAAGACAATACTCACAAGAAAATAATACCGAAAATCATGACCCTTCTCATTTTTTTTATTTAACATGTTATTATTAGTTTTTAATTTGTTTTAATTATTTACACATGCCATGACAATGACCTTGACATATCATACATTTGAATCAGATGGGATATAATTTCTCATTTTTCTGAGTATACAGGTTGCGATTTTTCCTTCAACCAGGACCTTTTTTCATGTCTTCAGTAATATTTTTAATGTTTTTATTAGTGCACTATAGTTACACATAGTATATATCCATGGAATATAATTTGCTCTACTTCAATGCCCAGTACTTCTCCTTTCCCTCTTGTTCTCCCTGAGCTGTTCCTCTTCCTTTGTTCTACTGTTCTTCCTTCTATTTATTTATAGGTTTTGTTTTTTAAAATTTGTGCTTTATGGATATACATGAATATGAAATTCACTGTGGTATATTTGTCTGTGTACACAGCATGATTTGGTCAATTTATGAGTTTGGCTTATTTCACTTAGCATGATGTTCTCCAGCTTCATCCAGGTATCAGCAAATGCCATATGAAACTTTTAAAGATGAAAAGGAATGCAACTAAGAATTCAGCAGGTATAACAGCTACAAACTGGGACTTGTGTGGGGCTGCTCATCTCCACAGATGAGCAACATGATGAACTTACCGTTGAAAGCAGTGAGCTGCAGTTACCAAATGTCTCTCACTGATCAAGGATGCCCCACAGTAGTGTCGACCATTGAATTTCACACTTGCTTGCCATGGCCATTCTCCTTTTTGAGCAGTGGAACCTCCTTTGATTCTATCATACGTAGCTGACATCCTTGGTCGTCTTCCACAGCCTATCAGAGAGGGTCAGTTTTGTTCCGTTGAGAATAAAAAGATAATGTTTGGTTACAAAGCATAGAGTTGTCCTGATATGATTATATCTGACAATGTCTTTCACTGATAGGAATAAAATATAATCAGTACAGGAATCATTAGCTGTCCCTGGATCACCTGTCCAGCCATCATAACAGTTCCAAGATACTTCAGCGCTTGGACAATGTGTAAGATGTGGGAGGAAAAGTCACAGTTAAGCCCATGGACTTTGTAACCAGACTCCCTTAGTTTGAATTCTGGTCCCACAACTCACCAGCTGGATAAATCTGGCTAATTATTTCACTTCTTTGTATTTGAATTTCCTCACCTCTAAAATGATATCATAAGCATGCTTATCTCTAGCGCTGCTATGAAGATTGCATGAATTATTCTACATGAAGCACTCAGAATTCTGTCTAGTAAAGAGAAACAAATCTTGACTTATATTTCATATTATCTCTTATTTAATTTTAAAAGTATTGAACTTACGGTTGTTGATCATCTTTTCAGCTTCGACCTTACTGATTTCTGTAATTGAACAAAAAATCCATGATTATTTAAGAATTGAGCCTGTGGCAATGGAAAAAGATGGTAGCTCTAGCAGAGAAAAGGTCCAGAAATAATTTGAATTCTCAAGATGAAGAGTCAATAGAAAGGAGAGAACATTGGTTTATTGGAATTTTTCTCTTTCTATATGTGAATGTATTAGGTGAAAATATCCCCTTCATAGTTCCATACAGGAGACTTCTTTTTTATTTAATTGAAGTTATATCTACATCATCTAAAGTGGAAAATTGTGAGTTTTCTATCATAGAAGGAGAGGAAGTCTTCAAAAGTGAATCTAATTTGGGTCTATATACAAAAATACTTTAAAAAGTGACCTGTCTTATAATGGCAGATCCAGTGTTGTTTCTGAAAATTTAGGATACCACAAAAAGAAAACCAAAGCACACCATTACTTATAAAGATTGTTTAAAGTAGTAATATCAGCTTTAGAATAAGAAAGAGTTCCCCTTCCTTCAAACCACCTATAATGTGTCCTTAATAGTAACATATTGAAATGAATTAAATGAATGAAAAAGTCTGATTTAAAATGAAATTCATTTAAAAATGTATTTAAGATCAGCTTTGTGTCTGGTATGTATGATATGTGTTAGGGACAAAATAATGAAAATAACATTGCTCAGGTATAATATATAAGCTTACCCATGAGCTTCAGAGAATCAGGATCTGTAGGCAAGGATCCAGAGTGGCTTGTCAGCATCTGACGTAAGATGCTTTCAATTCTTTGTCTTGCAGTTTCTTTCGATGATCTGGAATTCTTGAATACCAGCCATATATTTGCTGTCAGACTGTTGTTATCGGGACTGGAAACAACATAAAAGTTTCATATGTTGCTAAAAGTAGCATTTCCTTCCTCACTGTCTGATATTTTTTTTTTAATCTTGGCTTCTTCTGCTCTTTTATGGCTCTGTGCACTACTTTCACTTTAGGTCAAGCACAGGCTTATTCACTTGTCTACATTTAGTGGTAACATTATTCATGCAGCTATATTATTCAGTTTAGAGTCAATTCTACAAATCTGAAAAAGTAGGGAAAGCTGAGACACAAATTATGGCAATGACACAATTCTATTCTCTAGGAATTTCCAAACATGCATACGATGACTATAACAAATGAGGGAGACACAGGAAGATATTTATCCTAACTGGAGACATTCAGAGGAATAATGAGTCATTTTTTACTTAAGTATCAGATAAATTTTCATGAAAGAGGTGATATATACACTGGACTTCAAATATTGTTATTGCTACTTCATCATCAAATAGAAAATTTCATCATCAGAGATAAGGAGGAATCATACTACAGAATAACTGACTGATAATAATATTAATTAACAGTTATTGTGCATCTGATGTTTTTTGTTATCACATATATTAGTACACATTTTGTTGTATCTATGATAATACTGAAACATAAGTATGTATCATTTATCATGTTTTATACATTTGGAAAAATTGAGGCTCTGACAGATTATGTAAATATACTCAATATGCAACTACTAAATGGGGGTTTAGAGTCAGTACACGCTGATTCCATAAATAGGGCTCCTTACTCTATGCACTCCATCATATGTCTAGTCATCCAGTGACTATGGTGTTTGAGGGATTGGGCTCAGAGGGAGACGGGCTTTTAATGCAATGCAAGGGGGTAGCAGTGATGAGAAGATGTTGAACAAAATTGCATTCAAATATTAATCTGAAGATTGATGGAGAAATTTGGTGGGCAGCCCAAGAGGCTGGCCAACAAAATTACCAAGGAGCCCTGAGGCTAGTGTCTGGAGTGTTATCATTATGTTTTGAGTCTCCCTAAGGGATACTCAACATTTTGGCATATAAATCAATAACAATTCCTACTGAGCACTCCACTCACATTGCTACCAAGCAACATAGTAAGTGATTTTTGCAGCATTATGTGCCAAAGTGAAAAACTGTTCTGTGGCCTTGCTGTCACTTGGTCTTGACCCTACAGATACCTGAAGTTATGTGTACTGGAAAACAAAGCAGAGAGGCCTTCTGGTGGTTGCAATCACCTGAGACCTTCAACTTTAGTTTTCCATTTCTGTCCAGTACCAAAATTGCTATTTGGAACCTTAACTCGTTCTGCAATTCCAGAAATCACATGAGCCCAGGACCAGGGAAAGAAGGGAGAACATTAGTAACACTAATGAAAGTAAAAGTAATAATCACTTTCACTGAAAATATATTTATTTGAAAGCATTTCTATACACATAATCTTTTTAATTCTGAGTAAGTTCTATGAGCAAGGCAGGGCAGGTGTTGTCACTAACATTTCATAAGAGAAAGGAATAGATTTAAAGTGGTACAATGACTGATACAAAACTCTAGGGCTACTAAATGGCAAAGACAGGGCTCAAGTTGTCTAACTGCATTTTAAGGTTCTTTCTACTATTTTTGCTATTCCAAATCCATATGCAGAGAACACAGTATAGTTATTTTGCTTCTTGATATGGTGACCAGAGGGTTCTCCTTGATAACAAAGCCTGTCTTCTACCCCATATCTAATAAGAATACTGGGGTCATTCCACAAAATGTTAAACTGACTTGCAAGTAGAAAGACTGGAGAAAACAGAGTTCATGTTTATGATTATGATAAATAAAATGTTAGTGTGTCAAACATTGGTCTAAAGAACGATCTATGTTTTTTGGATATAAATACTTAGAAAATAAGAATGATGAGTAATCCACAATTTTAAGGTTAATGCGTTCCTGGTAGATTTAATGAATTCAACAATAAAGCCCCAAAACTTACTTCAGTTTTGTACTGAACAAATTTGTCTGATATTTATGATAATGTTGATATTGGTAACTTACTGGTTAATGACTGTAACATATCAATAGAAATTTTCACAGAAGAACTTGAAGTATAATGATATGCACAATGATTCTGATTAGTATTCTTTACTTACACTAGTGTGATGACTTGAGAATTGATATATTGTCTGTAAATGTTAGAACTTTGAAATGCATCAACCATCTGTGAGGAGAGAACATAGTCAAGCATCAAAATCCAATAATAAATTTATATTTCAATGAATTAACAATGAAACAAAAGTAGAAAAATACTAACTTACTTTAGTTTCAAGAATTTTACTAATATAGTTATTTTCTGGTGATGTCTCCTTTTCATAATTTTTATTATATGGGATATTCAGCACTTTGAAGCTACCTTGATAGTAGTATGTCCTATTTTCTGTGAGACAAAGAAATAATCCAAGAATTATTCAAATTAAATGGACTTCAAACTCAGATGTAGATTACATATTAATACCAACTAGTATGTATTATGTTTGTTGGATATTGATAAACCCATGTGAATTTTTCTGATACAGTTGATTAGATACCTTAGGCATTGTGAAAAGTGTTTTTAGAAACAATAATAGAACACACACATGCACCCACATATCAGAAAAAGGTCAGAAAGAAAAATTACATCATCTTGGTTGAGACAGAAAGGACTATATAGTATAATGAGATTTTTGTTATCAATTGCTAGATTATGAATAAAAGTAGCTACAATTTAATATCCACCAAATGAAGATATTTTGTAAAGACCTAATGAAGTATACAAATGTTTCAGAATCGTCTCAGAGTAACTTGCCAAATATACTAAAAGTAGCCAAGGATCAAAGCTCAATCTGCCTAACTTGAAAGCCCACAGCTAATGCATTGTGTTTCTTTTTGAAATTTTCATGGATACTTGATAAATGTCACATCTTATCTTTAGTAAGGTGATAGATATGAAGTGCTTACAGCATGTTAGACATGGGGTAAGAGTTGGTAGCATATAATAATAATAACTAAATAAATTTTATTTTACAATATGATCACTGCCCTTGAAGAAGATTATCTTGTGGAAGAGACATGCTCAATATTGATGAAGCCATTACATGAGTAATCAATAAGAATATATTCAAATTATGAAGTTGGTTTTTCAACTACAAGTTCTATATGAATCAAGAGAAGAGAGGAATCATAATTAAAATAAAACATGGTGTTATTAAAAATGTTAAAATATTTTATAGTGCTAAATATAATGGAGAAAGAAGTTAGCAAGTCCTAAACAAAAATTTGAAAATGTTTTTATTATAAATGATTTATAAATGAATGTTGCTAATTGCAGTTAATTTGCCTGTACATTGTCATATGTTTATTCACTATATACCATACTTTACAATTGCAGTTTATCAGGTTATAGCATAAGCAGCAAAAAAAGATCTTAAAACCATTTGACTTCTGTTTCATAATTCAGTGTTCACAATGCATCCTTCATTTCTTCATTTGGATTCCTATTTATTTTTATTACAATATTCAGAAGCCATGAATATTTCTTAATGTAAATTAACAAATTGTCAAGATGTGAATTTGTTTTATTACAATAGAATGAAGCACTTTTCAGAGAGACAATTGATTGATAAACAGAATATTTACTATCTAAAATATATGAGATTAAAAACCATAAACTAAAGCAAGGAAATCAACTTGTGAGTATCCTGTTCTTAATTTAACTGTATGCACCAGTCATAGCGGGACATTGAGACCTTACTAACTATGCTGAGGTCACTGTGGATATAGTCGTTGAGCTCAGTTGGTACCTGATGCCATGAAAATAATCCACTGGGATGGCAAGTCAGTAAGGCAGACTCACACCATATGAATAACATTCTCAACTCCACAAGAAGTTCAAATGCCAATATGAATTGAGAAAGATGAATAAGGGAAAAGAATAAGAAATCATTTTTCATGACTTGATTATTTACAAATCATTTCTAGAAAGAAAACCAAACATATATACAATTTTTTTTTTAAACGAGGAGTACTCTGGGTAAAACATAAGGATTTAAATGTGTATTATGAGAAGACTTCTACTTAAAGTGGACAGAGTGATGTGGGCCAGATGCTTTTCAAGTAATGTGGGCCAGATGCTTTTGAAGGAATATTCTGGTATGTAGGCCTGGAGATGGGTTGCAGACTGGGAAAGTTATGTTAACTTAGAAGTGCTTTCACTCTGTATCCTATGTCTAAGCCCAGAAAAATAAGAAAAGACAAAAATGTTAGCTGAATTCTAAGGAAACTAAAGAAAACAGCCACAACTCCAGGCCTACTTCCCAAAACCTCTGATGCAAACAGTCCTAAACTATGAAGTATACACTAAAGTGAGAAGTTATATAAATCAGAGATGCCTTTCATAAATTAAGCTAGATATAGATTTTTCTAAAAGTTCTCAATGATTAGAATCATAATACTCCAAGTTCTGAAAACACAAAAGGAATATTTCTATTTTCCCACTGCAGAATGGCAGAAGAGAAAATACAAGTGAAAGCATACTACAATTCTCTTTTTAATATATATGGTCTAATCTTCCCACTGAGGCAATCTGTTGATGATAAACTGGGGTATTCCCTTCTAGGTAGGGAAGTCATGAATCAATGTATCATACTTAAGAGAGTATGCAAATTAGAGTGCTTTCTTCAGGGTCACTCCAGACTCCTAAGTGTTAAATATTGAAGATAAATTTTGTCTTGTGTTTAAAGAAAGTAACAGATGAGATAAGACAATGTTTGAGACAAAAAAATATCAAAATATAAGCCTCAAACTTTCCCAGTCTGCAACCCATCTCCAGGCCTACATACAAGAACATTCCTTCAAAAGCATCTGGCCCACATTACAGAAAGTTAGTTAATCATTATTAAAAAGAAAGTGAATGGATAATTCAAATAACTGAAAAATAGGAATATAGCAATATCAAGAATCATATTAATAAGTTGAAAGTGGTTGCCTCTGATAAATGGGAAATAAGATACCGAAAGAAGGGCTGAATTTATCACTAAAAGCTCTGGGTATTTGATATGCATGCACATATGAAACTTAGGTCAGATTCATTCTACTGTTCTTCCTTTTTCCTATCCCTTCTTCCTTCTCCTCAATACCTTTCATCTATTCTACTGAAATTTCTGAGATTTTAATGAAATTCCCCCTCCCTGTTTCCTTTTTTCCCCCTTTCTCTTTTCTTTTTTTTTTTTTTTTTTTCATTCCTAACCCCTTATTTTGGAATAGCTTCTGTATATCACAGAAAACATTTGTCCTTTGATTTTAGGGAAACTGGTTTATTTCACTCAGCATGATAGTCTCCAGTTCCATCAATTTACTGACAAATGCCATAATTTCATTCTTCTTTATGGCTGAGTGATATTCCATTGTGTGTGTACACACACACATGCGCACACACACACACACACATTTTCTTTATCTATTTATCTGTTCAAGAGCACCTAGGTTGATTCTGTAGCTTGGCTATTGTTAATTATGGTGCTATAACAATTGATGTGACTGTATCACTGTATCACTGTAGTATGCTGATTTTAAACCTTTTGGATATATACCAAGAAGTAGGATAGCTGGATCATATAGTGGCTCCATTCCTAGTTTTTTAAGGAATCTCCATACTGCTCTCCAGAGTGGCTGTACTAATTTGCAGTCCCACCAACAATGTATGAGTGTCTTTTTCCCGACGTCCTTGTCAAAATTTATTATGTGTACTCTTGATAATTGCCATTCTGAGTAGAATGAAATAAAATCTCAATGTAGTTTTGATTTGAATTTCCCTAACTTCTGGAGACGTTGAACATTTTTTCATATATTTGTCGATCCTTTGTGTTTCTTCTTTTGAGAAGTCTCTGTTTAGTTCTTTTCCCATTGATTAATTGGGTTATTTGTTTTTTTGGTATTAAGTTTTGAGTTCTTTGTATATCCTAGATATTAATGGACTGAGGAGCAGGTGGTAAAAATATTCTCACATTCTGTAGGCTCTGTTTTTATACTTCTATTTTTTTTCCATTGCTGTGCTTTTTAATTTAATGCTATGCCACTTATTGATTTTTAAATTTTATTTCTTGCACATTAGGAGTCTTATTTAGGAAGTCTGCTTCTGTGTGGACATGTTTGAGAATTGGGCCTATATTTTCTTTTATTTTATGGTAGAGCATAAATGATATAATATCCTAAGTTAAAAACACATGGTTTTTTAAAATGACTTCAATTTTCCTCCTACTCTTCAAATTTTTTTTTAAAAAATCTATGTAGAAGGATTTTTATATTAACATCTTTATTATAAATAAATAATCAAAATTCAATATTCATTGATTTCTCCTTTACATAGAATATATGTAATATATTAATTATAACATTGGTAGAATTATTTTTTCTGCCTGTCAACTATCTACTTATGTGCTTATGTCTCTGAAAGAATATCTATTCTTTTAACTATGTATATTAAAATCATGTGAGTAATGTAATGGCAAATATTAATAATGCTTATTTATAGGGTCTGGGGTCACTGATATCATTTTAAAGTGAGATAATACATGGTTTGCAATTGTTTCTTTACCTTCAGTATAAATGAAAGAGCGGTTATAACAAAATCAAATAAATATAAATATATACCAACCTACAGCCAGAAAATGAACCAGGAGACCAATAGTTATTCCAAGGATAGCCAACACTCCAAACACAAGGAGGACAATCATCCATAGTGGCAAAGATGTTCGGGAAGCTGTGACTGGTCTGTAAATAAAGAATATGAATATGAAAAATAAATCAGAAAAATCGCAATCTTCAAATCTATACTTCATATTTCCTCCCTAAAACTCCACAATTAAGTACAGTACTATCAAAGACATAGGAAGGAAGAGAAAAATAAAAACAATGCTTTCCTTAAAGCTTATTACTGAACTTGTGCTATGAAATTTTATGCATTTTTCTGAATCTGTGCTATAAAGTTGTTTTTCCAAGATATCTGTACCTAGGACATACTTGCATCCAGTGACTGATGGATAGGAGCAGAGTTAGTGTCAATAAGTTAAGATCTTTCCAGGGCAGGGGGCAAAAGAAATGTCTTAGGAGTTCTTTATGCCTAAGTCCAGCATAAAGTCCAGTATTTATTCTGTCCTTATTAACACAAATACAAAGTGCAGTATCCATCTATCTTATTAGTTTGTTTATTACTATGCTTCCAAGGAAACTTTAATAGAAGAGCATGTCATGATGAATCTACAATATGTTAGGTGTTTTCACTGTGTTTCATTTAGGTAACAAATAAGGTTTGAGAGTCATAACCTAAGTTGAATAAGGATCTGTGGGAATTTCCCAAAGAGGCATAGTAAGACAGTCTTGGAAAAAGGAACAATACACAGCACTCTAAGAATGACTGGTGGTTGGATTTTTTTTTTCTTTTTTTGCAGCAAACTGTGAGCAATGAATTAGCCAAAGATGAAATTGGACGGTGTGATGATTAATTTTAAATATCAACATTGGTTAGACTGGGGTACCCAGCTGTTTGGTTAAACATGAGTATAGATGTTGTAAAGTTTTATCTAGCTGCAATCAACATTTACAATCAGTAAATTTTAAGTAAAGGAGATTACTTCTGATAATGTAGATGAGGCTGATCCAATCATTTGAAGACCTTTGGAACCCAAACAAATGTCTTGGGAGAATGAATTCTGCTTTGAGATGATAACATAGAAATCCTGCCTAAGTTTCCAGCTGCCATCTGGTCTATGGACTTCAGACTTACCAACCTCACAACTGCATGAGCCAATTCCTTAAACTTGTGTGTGTGTGTGTGTGTGTGTGTGTAGAGAGAGAGAGGGAGAGAGCCCACATGCAAATTATATAGGTTATACAGGTATAGATATTTTAGTCTCTGTCACTATCTCCATCTCTTATTAGTTCTGTTTCTGTGAGGATCACCGATAGAGGTAGCCTCAAGAATCACACTTGATATCATACGAAGGTGTTGAGATTTTGTCTTCTACATTAGATCTCCTTCAAGTGTGATTGGAAGGTGACCTTAATTAGAATCAAGGGAGGGGCTTATAAATATGCATATTGTGGGAGCCTACTTCAGATCTGGTGAATTCAAATTTCTGGAAGGGCCTGGAAATTTGCACTTTTATATTCCCAGGGTTACAGATTCTCCCTATGTGTTGTGTTCATGGTAAAGTGTTGAAAATCCTGAGGCTGGGGATGTGGCTCAAGCGGTAATAAAGATGTTGTGTCTATCGAAAACTGAAAAATAAATTGCCTAAATTGCCGCAGTCTGGCTGGGCACAAATCACGAGCCACTCAAGCAGGAACAAACTTTATTTCAGAACTCCCTCGAACACCACGCACATGGCCTTCTCCCGGGACATACCACACATCAACCGGAAATCCCTCCTCCGGCACTTCCCCAACCAATGCGAACTCTCCAGGAATCCCTGGGAGAACTCCAAAGTAGCAGATGCCTGAGGTGGACAGCAGGGGTCTAATATACAATTGAATTCACAGCTTAACATAACCATCATCATCTCAATGACTTGCTGGTGTCACCTCTCAACCACTTTGTTCTGGCAAAAATGCCATGCGTCATTCTGACTCTCTATGGCTCTCAGCAATAAATATTAAAAATTCTCTCTATCTCTTCTCTCTTTCTCTCTCTCTCTTAAAAAAAAAGTATTAAAAACCTTTAATCTCCCAGGGTATCCTGTTATAGTTTTCACATTAGAGGTATCAAATAAAGACAGTGTGTATGATGTTTTAGATTGTAGGTAAAGGTAAATTGGGTTAATGCCTTCAAAAGAGCAAGATTCTTTTTTTTTAAAGAGAGAGAGAATTTTTTAATATTTATTTTTTAGTTATTGGCAGACACAACATCTTTGTTTGTATGTGGTGCTGAGGATCGAACCGGGGCCGCACGCATGCCAGGCGAGCACGCTACCGCTTGAGCCACATCCCTAGCCCTCAAAATTCTTTTTAAAAAAAAATCTACCTTCTACTGATGCTTTATAATTCTCTTGAAAAAATTATTTCATATTTGTCTTTTCCTAAAACCTTCAGCACCATCTGGTCCATCTTTACTCTTAGCTGATAACCATCTTATTCCACTGGAGAAAATAGTAGGAATATGAAAAGAATATTCATAATTTCAACACATTTGTGAACTCTTCTTTTGTAGCCCACAATCTGCCTTTTCCTCACATTTATGTAAATAGACTACCTGTGCCTATGTCTTAGACCAACTGCACTGCCCACTTTGCATCTCATTCTTGAACAGATAACCTGTGTTCCAAACATGTCAAATCACACCATACTCCATCATGCTTCCTTGTCCTTGCACAACCTGTTCCATTGGTCTAACATGTCTACCTCCAGTCTGCTGGGGAGCTGCCACTCAGACTTGGTCACGCAACTCTGTCATCTCCTTTGTCTTAAAGTTTTCCATGGCTGACTTTAATAGAGCCCTACATTCAGATCATTTATGTGAAAAAAAATTGAGATAAATTATTCATTGTGAGATTGGAAACATATCTGCCTTGGAAAGAGAGATTTAATTTTGTGCAGTATTTTATATAATAAACAGTCTGATAAACTAATCCAATTACACAGGCTCAATTCTGCCTTGTTTTTAGATGACTCCTAAGTTTACACTCACAATTGTGGTTGCTCAGTTAATCATCAGTCAGAAATTTCCTATTGTGTACCAGAAATTAAAATGTCCTTCAAACTCCATATGTAGAAAATGTGCAACTTTTTCTCCATAAACTGTCTCTTCTAGAGTACATTTTTCTCCCTTTTTATTTTTGAGGTAAAATCTTTTGCTGGTTTCAACATATTGCTGTCTTTTTTATCAACATAGTTTTTATGATCAAATTCTGGTAAATATTCTCCTGTAAACTTTCCCAAATTTCTCATTTTCTTTCCCTTCTGACTATCATCACCCAGTATCCCATTACTCCACTCTCATGGATTATAACAGCTCCTTTCTTCATTTCTTCTCCCATATCATGTTCCCCTTCCTCTCTTCTATCATCAGGTACAAGTCCATCTTCCTAAGTACTACAAGTCCTCATGTTAGTCATTTTCACAGGATACAGACAAAATACTTTTGACTAACACTGAAAGATTTATATCTTCTGGACCCCTCTGGTCTATTTACCCTCTAAGATGTTGTTCTCAATCCCCTTCGTCTTCATTCATTCACTTATTCAACAATTATTATCTATTTCCTCAATTTTACATTCTCATTTGTTGATGTTCCTTAAAATTACAAGCCTTCAATTCATAAGGCTTTTGTTTCTTAAATGTCAAATTAAAAATATTGATCTTTCAGTGGGTCAGCACTTAACCTGTATTACAAGCATTCGGCTCCACCAAAACCACTGCCTCCTTGAATGCTTCTTTTATCTTTGCTCCACACCCTTTCTCTTTTTTCCTTTCCTTTCCTTTCCTTTTCTTTCTTTCTTTCTTTTTTATTTTTTATTGTTATTTTATCTTCTCTTCTCCTTTTGCCTACCATGAATTTTTATTAACTACTATTTTATCTAATGATCTCCTAATCATTTGCAATTTCTTGTTTTGACGAGTTTTACTTTAAAGCATTAACTCAGAACAGATCTTTGTATACATTGGGGAAAATTGAAGTTTTATCTTTATATTTTGTTTGTCAGAACTTGTATTCTTCATAAAGCAGAAAAAAAACTAGATCTTTAACAATTGGATCAAATAAGACATTTTAGAGTTCATTTCAGACGCTATGGTTTGAAAATTACAAAATGATTTCTAAATTTTCAATTTTATTTCATTAAAATTGCTATAGGGTTTTATATTTCTATCCCTGTCCTCATTTTTCATTTTGATTATTTCTTATGACAGCTCAGCTATTTTTCTGGGTTTAGGTACCTTCAACTCATAACGTAAAGATCTTACAAACCATAACACGGAGTAAATAGCTGATTAAAAATGACAGAGACTCCTCAAGCAGAAAAATCACCCAGCTATTAGCCAAAGTCTGATAGTCCATACATAAAGTCTTCTGAGAAACACATAAGAAAATACTGGAAAATGATACAGAATATAAAGTATATCTTTGCATAAAATTCCTTATTTCAGTAAGAAACAAAAATACAGCTTTTTCCTATTCTATCACATAGGACTAACTCCTAAGAAAAATAAAATAAAATTTGTAAAATTTGGTTTTGAAGTTTTTACCCCCACTTATGATGGTCCTGCTCTTCCTTTTAACCATTCAAGTACACTCAGGCAATCACAAAGTTCACTAAGTTCTCCTAAAACACATGCAGAATCAACTCTGTTTCCAAATCCCCACAAGGTCTGTGTAACAGTATTAATGCCTCACTCTGAGAAAACAAATCACTGAATTGGAGCTTAGACCTTTCCTAGGTAATCAGGTTTCCGAAAAACAATAGCTTATTTTTTTGAAATCTTTCAGATTAGGACTTTACACAAGTGTCAAATGATGAAGGAGAAGGAGAAAGAGTCATGTGACTAAAATATCTTTTCTGCTCAGCATGAAGGTGTTGTCTGTCTCATGGTCAAAACAAAACAATCATGCTTGTCTTTTCTCTTTTATATGTGTGCAATCACTGTTCTGATAGATTGGAGATATAACCAATATGAAAATGTAAGGATTATGAAGAAAATATATACATTTAATAACATGTATTTTAGAGAAATATTTATATAAGGTATACATATATATTTCACAGTTATATTAATATGAAACATTTCAAGTTAATTTCTATATATTGTATGTCTTAATGAGAACTCCATATAAGCACAGAGCATATTC